CCCTCCCTCCACCCGCTCATTGTAGTGTTGATGTATGTGTGTTCTAAGGTGCATTTAAAACCCAGGAGGGCATGGAGCTACCTGCCAGAGAGCAGACCGCCCCGACTCCACAGCAGCAGGGAGGCCCCACACATTCCGGACCCCAGTCGGACGCAACTCCTCCTCCTAGCCCCCCCCCGCTCCAGCAGGCCGCAGAGAACGAGGGTGAGAGAAGACTCCTAACTTCCCTCCACCCGCTCACTGCTTACTATCTTCTGTCACAATAAGTTGGGTGTAACAGGCAGAGTGAGGACCCAGAGTACAGGACTATGAGACAAAACTGAATTAAGAGCACAGCTTTACTTCTCTAATTAAAAAACACAAAGGCTTAACTCCTGTGTGGTGTTCAGTTTGACCCAGATACACAGAGACACACAGAAACATGTCCATGCACACACACACACACACACACAATGTTACACTGTTTTCATTTAAGCACAGAGGAGCTTTTTGCTCTCACTTTCCCACACTCTTTACCGTCCATTGTGTGCTCAGGACAAGTTAGAAAATAATTTATTCTGATTCTGTAAATCTGAAGATTCACTTTGAATTCCCCAGTGAGAGATTTCCCCTGCTCAGCTACTGATATAATTCGGATGATAGCAGGGCCCACAGAATTTGCAGCAAGCCATGTTTAAGATATCAAGTCATCCTTTCTGCTGCTGATCCGACTAAATTCTGAGATTTATACTGGATATAACCAATCCTGAGGGGTGTAATGGAAAATTTTACCTCAAAGTTTTTACCTCATTTAACCTTGGTGTGAAGTATGCAATACTGCCATTAATGGTTATTTTACAGCAGCACTCACTACTGCATCATTGTAAATGCAAAATGTGGTTTTATGACATCTGCAAATCACTGCATTCTGTTTTAATTACATTTTGGTTTAAATGGGATATGGAATTATATTTGTGTGAGGCAAGAGTAGTTGAGAATTGCCTTTTAGATGCTGACTGACTGTGTCCACCCATCTTCTCGCCCCTGTGGTGCTTGGTGCTAACCTCATTAAATGTTGCACAGCTCAAAGACTGCAGACTTGCACATCATTTTGCCAATTTTTTTTTGCCAATTTCAAAATAAAAGAATATTTTCAAAAGTCCAGTTTTATTCCTTTATGGGGAAAAATCCCTTATTACAGGTGGCTAAGTGGAAAAGAAATGTCAAAGAGGCTGTGGTGCCAGGTTTAGGATTTTATGAAATAAACCAACATTACATAAAACAACATTGCCAAAGCAAATGCAAAATTTCCTTAAAATTATTTCAAATTATATACACTCTCGCTGCATTCTGTTATTTAGCCATGCTCTTATGGCCAAGAAGGAGCATGAGGAGGTGGGTTCTAGTAACGAAGCTCCTGTGGGCCTCGGCTCGCTGAGGAGTGGCTGCCTCGGAGTGGCTGCCTCGGAGTTCAGGGCTAAGAAGAGAGACAATGACATGAAGAATAAGGTTCGGTGCAGCTATATAAGGAGGAAAACGTGCCAAGTGAGAGGGGACATCTTTGTGAGGCGCTGAGGCTCCCAGCTGTTGTATGTGTTTTATGATTGCCAATGTTAATAAAGCCCGAACCTCTGACATGGACTGGGGCAGTCTCTGGTGTTACTTCCTTACATTCCAAGCCGAACCGGGCGGTAACACATGTTTTAATACCCACTGAACCACACTGAGCTTGGACAAAACTCAATCAATTCAGTGTTAATAATTCTATAATTGATGCCTCTAGAAATCTGCCGAGCATTTCTTTTGAACCTAAAAACAAGGCAGCAGCATCTTGAAGCCTTTGCTGTCTTTGTTTAACTAAACAGACTAATGGCTCAGCCCACCACTGAATTTATTTCTGGAGAAATGGAGCAGATATTATGTTCCCTGGGAGACTTCTTTATCGGCAGTGCAGGTTCTCAGTCATCCAGGTCATCGTAGTCAAAGGAGCTTGCAAAGAAAAGCGTCTGGACTTCTTTAAGTTACTTGAATGGGCATTCTTAAAGTCAGCAAAGAGGCACAGAAAAGAAGATCAGACACCAGCGAGGGAGGATAAGAAGGACAGACGCAACAACATTGTCATCCCCTATGTAGC